CTCCCATGGGTGTCGCAAGAGGCGACAGAGGGAAACTGAGGCAGAAGATGGGCAGCAGCATCTTTCTGATAACAGCAAAACAACAATAAAAAACTGCGATTGCCAACCCGCTCGCCAAGCGTGACAACTATGGCAATATACCCGCCATGATTAAAGTTACGAAGAGACGGCCCCTATTCCCCGCCGTAGCCGCTATTCCTGGCTACGGTGGCGACCATGGTAACGGCGGAGCAGAGGGTGTAAAGAACCTCCGGTGGAGGTTCGATTGCCATCTAAGAAGGCTCGACCAGGCAACATATAACGCACGCTCCCTGACGAATGGCGAGAAGATCCTGGAGCTAGAAGAAGAGATGAGACAAGGTGCGCTGGAATATTATAGAATTATTTGAGGTCCGAAGAGAGGGGGATGACATGGTAATCCTTGAATCCGGCAACTTGTTCCATAACTTTTATACAGTGGTAGAGCCACAGGGCAGCTTTTGCTGTCGCACGGATGGGCCGGCTCGAACCGGGGTGGTACCACGACCTCACAGAAAACCAGCGTGAAGTAGAGGTTTACCTCTGCGTTTCGCTTGGTGAGTGCAGGTGGCCGGAGGCCCTTTTTACTGGAAATGAGGCATTCCATCTTAGTCCTCACGGGTGACAACGCATCTACATTTTGATTTGTAATAGAGGATAGATGTAGATGTTTATGGGCCGCAGCAACCACTTACCATCAGGTGGACTGTGTGCACGTTTGTCACCCGTATCCTATAAAAAAAAAAACTTGTTCTATCACCGTCCACAAGTCTCTCGTTAACAACGTTGTAAAGATTGAGTGTGTCGACGAGGGTTGCGTACCTTATACTCAGAATCACCAAACGGTATTCGCTGAAGGTCATACAGGTTTACGCACCAACCACGGCACACCCCGATGAGGAGGTGGAGGAAATGTATGAGGATATCTCTAAAGGCAAGCATTCCTCCAAAACCCACTATACGGTGTTAATGGGAGACTTCAACGCAAAACTAGGCACAAGAGAGAATGGTGAGCTGAAAGTAGGGAAATTCGGAATAGGGCAACGGAACCCAAGATACAGCAGCTGGCCGACTTCATGGAGAAAGAGGGACTCTTTATGATGAACTCTTTCTTCCAGAAGTGACTCCACAGGAAGTGGACTATGTCGAGCCCCGACGGTTCGACAAAAAATGGGATTGACTTCATTATGATGACCAGGCGACAACTGTTCAGTGATGTCTCGGTGATCGCGAGGATGAAAATCGGCAGCGATCACCGAATGTTGAGAGGCGCACTGAACCTAAATGTTAAGTTGGAGCGGTTACGCCTAATGAAGTCAAGTCCGTCCCCCTCGTGCTCTAATCCAAAGTCCCGAAACCTTTCAGCTCGAGCTACAAAACCGTTTTCAGTGCCTAGAAAATTGCAATGCAGTAGACGATATGAATGACAAGCTCGTGGAAACTGTCCATGAACCACAGAAGAGCACAAAAACTCTCCGATCACACATAATCTCATGGTTGATTTGACACCATACAGGCAACTGAACAGACAGATCTCCAAATGCATGCGGCGGGACTTATGCAACTTTAATACTGGTCGTATTGAAGAAGCGATAGATCGGAACCAGGGCTCCAAATTATTTGCTAGAGATCTGTCTGCCAGAAAGAGCCAACTGTCGATGCTGAAGACCGAGTGTGGTAGCATCGTTTCCAGGACACCTGAGATTTTGAGTGAGATCAAGAGGTTCTATGGGCAGCTGAACACATCATCGTTGGAGCCTCGTCTCGCATGCAGACTCGACGACTTCCAGCCTCCCGAACGGTTTCCGAAAAGGTTTCAACACCATAGACTACATATATACCCTTCGACAAATTGTACAGAAGTTCGAGGAGTACAATTTGCCACTATGTCTGGCGTATGTGGACTATGAGAAAGCCTTTGAATCCGTCGCAATTTGGGCGGTGCTGCAGTCCCTTCAGCGGTGCCAAGTTAACTGTCGGTATATCGAAGTGCTGAAGTGTTTGTACAGTAGGGCTACGATGGCTATCCGAGTACCAACCTCGTAACCACAGTACGAAACCTATCCAACTGCAGAGAAGTGTAAGACAGGGTAACGTTATATTCCCGAAACTCTTCCCCGCTTCATTGGAAGACGTTTTCAAGCTTCTGCACTGGAAAGGATACGGTATTTACATCAACGGCGAGTGCATCACTCACCTTCGATACCGACGATATAGTCCTTATGGCAGAATCGCTGGAGGACCTAAGCACTATGCTCAATGACCTCAATAGTGCCTCCCAACGGATAGGTCTTAAGATGAACATGGACAAAACGAAGATCATCACACCTATGCCGGTAGTTATTGGGAGCATTAAACTCGAAGTTGTTGACGATTATGTTTACCTGGGACAAATAGTCCGATTAGGTAAGTTCAACCTCGACCGAGAGGTCAATCGACGGATTCAAGTCCGCTGGGCAGCGTTTGGGAAATTATGACACATCTTTTCCTCAGGTATACCTCAAAACCTGCAAACGTGACTATACAACCAGTGCGTGTTGCCAGTGATGACCTATGGAACTGAGACGTGGTCTATCACTGCTGGCCGGAAGAGGAAGCTCAAGGTCGCTCAGCGAGTTATGGAGAGGGCTATGCTCGGAGTTTCTCTGCGTGATAAACTTGGAAATGAGGATATCCGAAGTAGAACCAGAGTGACCGACGTAGCCCAACGGATTAGTAAGCTGAAGTGGCAATGGCCATCCATATAGCTCGAAGAACCGACAACCGGAGGGGGAAAAAGGTTTTCGAGTGGCGACCTCGTACCGGCGGACGAAGTGCATCCCCCCACTAGATGGAGTGACGACCTGGTAAGACATGCAGGAAGTGAATGGATGCAGGTGGCACAGGACCATGCTTTGTGGCATTTGTTGGGGGAGGCCTATGTTCAGCAGTGGACTTGTGAAGGGCTGTAATGATGATATAGATTTGATCTTCCAGACTATATAAATATCAATGCCAAATTTTTGGTCTTGATCAGACTTTGATTTTTATAAATTATGGGTATGTTTTTACAAAACACAGGTTTAGTGGTTACGTTTATTGTGTAAACAATTTTAGACCGATTGAAAAGCACTTTTATGTATTAAATTCTACAAAGCAAAATCCTGAGTCGCCTGCATCCATCAACTTCCTGCACCTCTTACGAGGTAGTCACTTCATCTAGTGGGGGGCCGCCCTACACTTCGCTTGCTTCTGTGTGCCACTTGAGAAGCTTTCTTCCCCATTGGTTGTCAGTTTTTTTAGCTATATGGGCAGCTGATTACCACTTCAGCCTACTGATTCTTATCTATACAAGTCAGATTTAATTTTACTTATTTATAATAATATAATCAGAAATAAATAAAATAAAAAAATCCACAATAGTAGTTTCATTCATTACATTCATTCATACATTCCAATGTTCATATAAATATAAGAAATAATTTATTTTACACAGATATAGAATACATTTATGTGATTTATGAAGTATGGACAGACACAGGCTTAACTCTACAAGACATTCTCTACTAGTCAACTTATAGGTAATGTAAAGTTGCAAGAGATGCTAAGCAAATTGAAAATAAATACTTAAAAAATAATTATAGCATTTGTTTAATAAAGCATAGAGAAATACATGATATATATCTATATAAAGTTTCCCGATGATATAATAAAAGCAACAAATAAGCATGTGTTTAAGAGACTGGTCCGACAACATTATCTTAAGGAAAACTGCATTTGACGATCAATTTCTATTTTTATTTTTAGTTATCTTATATATTATATATGTAATATTTATTATATTATTTTTCTATATGTATTATTAGAATACATGTGAATATATTTTAAATTTATATATAATATATGTCTAGTTATTTTAACATTTTTTGACACCTACCAACTTTTACTTGTTTATTTCTCTCAGGGTTGACTGGTAGAGAATGCTATAAGGCATTAAGTCAGCCCATTGTAATCCTTAGATTAAGGTGTAACACAATAAAGATTAAATAAGTAAATAAAAAAAATAAAGCAACATCATAATTATGAAATATATTGTAATAAGTAAAATTTCATTCACTTCAGCTTATAAGTCCACCACTGAATGTAAGGTTTTGCGTTAAATTACCTCATAGGGAAAATGTTTGCCATAGATGGCATCTATCATCATCATGCTTGGCTGGCAAGTTGGCAACTACAATTCTTTATTAGTTTGAGCTGTTATCAGGAAGATACTGCCAACACCATTTTTACTGGTATAGAGAGACATTTCATTTGAGTCTTTAAATTAGATAATCATACATCTGCATTTTAGTCTTATTCAAGGATAGATGTAGATATCTATAGGCCACAGCACACTTATCAGCCATTCTCTAAAAAAACAATAATATGTTTCAATATTGTTTATGGAAATAGAAAATTCATCTACTAATTCTAATGATATTAAAAATCAGTAAATAACTTTCTTCATATTGTTTAATACTGTTTTTCTATAATCACTACAGAATATCACATCAGACAACTGATATGGCACCTAGCCTACTTTATGAGCATATTTCATAAAGTAGGCTCGGCTTTTGTAATTTTCCAGTCTTATCACTCCTTTATATCAGTCAAAATAATACCACCTGTACATCCCAAGTAAAGTTTACATATTATGATTATTTATTTTCTAACTATACAACATTATGGAATTCAAACCATTGCTTCAAAAAAATTTAATTTTTGTATCATCTGATCTGAAGAAGCTTGATAAAATGTGTGAATAGTTTATTTTTATCTGATAAAAACATCTTCTACTTAGGTATTATTTTTATAGTTGTGTGAAAGGAAGTATATAAGTGGAATGTATTACTGGATTATTGTATATTGTTAATATATTAATGGTTAAAACATTTTGAATCTCATAAAACATCGACATAGGTGATGGTGCTATAAAATCGTAAGTAATGTAACAATACGCTTACTTGTAAGGGCGATCCCGTATTTTCTTATAACTTCCAACATAACTTAGAGTTCGTAAACTTCTCACAACTGTTTTGAACGACATTTCTCCAATAAACCTCTTCTGTAAGTTATTCTTTTTCGTTGTTTTGACAGTAGAAGCACCACTCAAGCACTGACATTTGACACTGACAGCTGACAGTTGATAATTATTGACAAGTCATCTATAAATGTTTTTTTCGCGGGGCGCCACCTATGAGCAGCGATTTGGATATCAGCTGTAATTTCCTCCGCAAGGCGCGGCTTAAATTTTCGTGCGTAATGTGCGCTCATCTCTTTCTGTGGCACGTGTGATAGCATCGATCGAACGTATCGCGCTCTTTCGGGCCAGTTGGCGAGCGTCTCTGTGAGAGCGCGTGTGGTGCGGAGTGCGCGTGTGTCGCAGTGTGGCAGGTATCGATCGCGGGCGAGACCGCATTGCCGTACATTCCGGAGGCGGTGCCTCGCTTGCCGTCGATCGCGGCGTGGCGCGCGCGTGGCGGCGGAGGCGCCGGGCTGCGCACTGACGGCGACGCGAACTCGCGCTCGTTCTGCCAAAACCGGCTTGCTGTCCGCCGCGGACGGCTGTGATGTAGCCGCGGCCGGCGTTCGGACAAAGGATCCGCGACGGCACCGCGGTTCGCGATGAAGAAGTTTACTTTCAAAGGCGTCCTGGACGGCTTCCGCAGCTCGATGCAAGCGGCGCCGCGCGGGGCTGAGCAGGAGATCCAGGAGACGCTGCGTCCCGACCACTTCCAGGTCAAAAAGGTGAGTGTTTATCATCTGCGGCTTAGTGCCCTTGAGTGGACAGGTCTGTGGTGGGGCGTTTCACGCTCGAACTACGTTCGCGTATTTATGAAACTGGTAAGACCGCGCGCCCGCGCTCGCGTGCACAATGTTGTGTAAACTTAACCCGTCAGCCGTCACCGCGATATCCACACGCACCAAAACATTCGCCTCGGCCAATGATCGCACTAGTATTAGATCATTTAATTACGAATTTCGTAAATCTCATTGTGATCTATTAAGAATTAGAAAGCTATCTCGACATATATTTACGTCAGAATTGCGTCCTTGACCATAAAAACAGTTATTAGTAGCATGGTGTACAAAATGCTATTTCCTCGACCTGATTTTCCAATTTTCACGTAAACGTTTTTGTTTATTATTTGAATAAACTATCCAGAGACCCCGCAGGCGGCCGAGTAGCGATCATTAAACTGATAAGAGATAAGATAAATGCTGCACTCAATAATGCCTTAGTATTTTGTGTTTGTTTCAAAATTCGTTTATGTTAAAAATAATTGGAGTTGAAATACTTACGGGATATAATTGTTCGTGAAAATTATAAATGTATGTCAATTCATTATAGATAAGGCGCCAGTGAAAAATTAGCACGGAAATGATGTTAAATTCTGACGTGCGAGTTTGTCTATCACCGTTCAAAGTATAAAACTTTTAATAAAAAGTAAAAACCGACTTCAAAAACTATATTGAATAAGATAATTTCTACAAAATAGCTTCTGAAATCGGTGGTAGGACATGTATCGAATGACTTCAGAAGATATTGTTTGTCTAGATGTTTCCGCGAAACCGTTTAACATAAAAAACATGCGTTGAATATAGAAACTTCTCCTTTTTCAAAGTCGGATAAGAACAATGTACCTTAAGTGTGTATTCATATAAAATTTAAACTTTATGACAATTTAGATTTTATTGCTTTATTTTAAACTTAAATGTAGTCTGGTAAAATTGTGAAAAAACGCCTAAGCCCGCCGAATTGTTTATAAGGACTAAGGAATTTCAAATATAAAGCCTTTGTACTGTTAGGCGATTTATTGTGATTCAAATCAGATGTTGATTTAATGAGATGTATGTGAATAAAACATTACCATGTGTAGTGTTCGCGTAAATTTAGGAAATCATGACAAAGTTAGTATATCTACCATAAAAGCGCAACTTAAAGTTTCAAATACGAGTAGGTACGACTTTTTCTTTTGTATATTATCTTTATATATAAAAATTACGTGTCACGTTGTTTGTCCGCGATGGACTCCTAAACTACTGACCTGATTTCAATGAAATTTTGCACACTGTGTGCATTTTGGTCCAACTTGAGAGATAGGATAGTTTTTATCCCGCTAAATGACCCTCAAAATTTTATTTTTATTACGAATTTAAGAATTTTTTATATGAAGCGTCGTCGAAAAACGCAGAACAACGTCTGCCTGGCGAGCTAGTAACATATAAAATATCATTATGCTAAAGCTTCTGTTGGTAATAATGATTCATGACTGTTATCATTATTATACCTTTTTAAAGCAACAAAAGAAATTGTGCCAGCGCCAAACCCTGTAATCGGTTCTCGATGAAATCTAGAAAAAGTTTTAATGGCTTCACTCAACTTTTCCCTTTTTTGGCTTTGTTAATATCGCGGGTCGTGATCGTGAATTGTGATATACTTAACAATTGGAAAAGGAAAATAATGACATAATGCGAGTTAAGCCGAATTAAATATTCTATTGTAATGGTTTAATCGATTGTACCAAAAATATTTAACACGAATCTATAGCACGAATGGGTCGGCTCTACCGGGGAAGGACCACGCTCTCACAGAATACCAGCGTAAAACAGCAGCTTAACACTGCTGTGTTTCGTATGGTGAGTGTAGAGAAATGGGTACCCTTTTTACTGGAAAAGAGGCATTCCATATTAGTTCTCACGGGTGACAACGCATCTGCATTTTGATTCGTAAACGAGGATGAATGTAGATGTGTATGGGCCACAGCAACTACTTAACATCAGGTGGATTGTGTGCTCGTTTGTCATCCTATCCTATATAAAAAAAAAAGATTTAATACAAACATGTAAATGGCAACGATATAAACCACTGAGAATTGTAGACAGTGCCAGTGCAATATAAACCTATTTTGTCTTTACTTGAGTTATAAAAGACAATCTTTTTTTTTAGAGACTTATTTTTTTTCGTAATTTATTTTGATTTAAATTAAAAGTTTGAAAATATGGAGCGTAAGCTACGTAGGTAACGAAAATCTTTTATTCTAGTTATTTACTTAATGATTAAAGCATTCAACACTAGAACCGCCAAAGTTAGACTGCCCCGTAAACCGCCGGCGAGACAAATTTGACCCAGTTTAATTATAGCATCTACGAGCGGTTTAAGGTTTAATGAAAGAATCTCTAATAAAAATACTTAACGAAATATTTAAAATGTTTTCTGAAATGTTTTATTAACAAATTCAGTAAACAATACGTGCTAAGCACTTGCTATGTCACCTTTACAAAGCGTATTGTGTTGAAAATTTGTGGAGATGGTCCTGCAGTATATTTTTAACTTTAAGTGGTGGAGCCAAACTGCAGCTATATTATACTTAGTTGCAGCATGAATGGGTCGGCTCATCCGGGGAAGGATCACGTTCTCACAAAATATTAGTGTAAAATAGCAGCTTATTGCTGCTGTGTTTCGTATGGTGAGTGTAGAGAACCGGAGAACCTTTTTACTGAAAACAAGGCATTCTATTTTTATTTATTAGTCCTCAGGGGTGACAACGCACCTGCATTTTGATTCTTAATCGAGGATAAATGTAGATGTCTATGGGCCACAGTATCCACTTACCATCAGGTGGACTGTGACTCGTTTGTCACCCTATTCTATGAAACAAAAATATAATAAAATATATTTTGTCATCCAATCCTGTCAGACATTTCAAGAGTTTTGATTATTTTCTAGGTAGTTACGTTAGGTGATGACACCTGATTCTCTCGAAATTCAGAGCACTGTGAGTCTCAGTACTGGAAATATTGCAATAATATTTCCACCAAAGGATTTGTATTTTTTTCATTAGTACAAAGATTTTTCAGTTTTCGGATGATTTATTAAATACTGTAATGACAGTACCATGTTTGTACAAATGTGAATATGGACAAGTGGTAGAATTAACAATTTTGTACAACCGACTTCAATATAAATAAAATGTATAACATCATCAATATAGCCTTACTCAATTAAATACGCATTATTAAGGATAAGGCAACTCAAAAACTACTGGTCAGGTCTTGATCAATTATATGGGACGACATAAGAAACACCAGCTTTCAAATAAAAAAAAACAATTGTCAAAATCGGTTCACCTAGAAAAACTAACTGACTTCAAAAAAGGAGGAGGTTCTCAATTCGACTGTATTTTTTTAAGTCAGTTAAAAAACCGTGAACGTATATATATTACTTATTATAAACTTACAGCAATCATAGTGAAATCATGTGTATTGTGCAAAATTAACCACGGCTAGCTCTATTGATGTGGCATTTTTCTTCAGATTCTTCACATGAAGAATTTGAAATAATATCTTCTTGCGCTAATTCATAATCGTAGTTAGAGTATTCCAATGGTATACCGATTAAAATTCCGAAACATCAGTCAAAGCAGCTATAACTCCTCGAGATGGATATTAATTTTAGGACGACTATAAAGACATATTTATTACATATGTTTTATTTTTTATTATTTTTATTACATACGTGCAATTGCAATAAAAAATGTAGACGATTCTTACATACCCCTCTTGTGTAGTAACCTCCATCCTACCACGGCTAGTAAACCGCACGCAGAGAATTATAACAGAAAATTTGTGTGTGTAGTCATACTTTACGACTTAATTTTTTAACTTCCCGCTTTGAAAATTATAATTTCCAAAAGTAGGAAGTTATAGATTTCAGGTCCGATTTTGAGCATAGGAATTTTCATCAAATCTCCACTACCTCCTACTACCTCCTCCTACCTCTACTGTGTGTGTATATATATATATATATATGTAAGTATGTATGTAAATAAAATTTTGTCGTACGATATCTTTAGAACAAATCAACTGAACGAGATGGGCGACCAAGCGTTCGAAAGTGTTCATTGAAACTTCGAGCTGATTAGATTTTCAAGTCAATCGGTGCAGCCGTTTCAAAGATTATCAAAAAATAAAAACCGAAAAAACCAAAATTAAATAGATTTGCGAGCGTTGCGCTCGAAAATTAGCGGGAAGTTCCAGGGATGG